TGCCTAATACATATTTAATTTTATTTTTAATTTTACTGTTCTCTAAACAAGTAATAAATAATAATGTTGAAATATAATCAACCTACCTCTTTGGAATGGAAGTAGGGATTTTTTCCCGTGAACCCTCATATTAAATATAAATTCACTCATTTTATCAATTAATTTATTCTGATTTATTTCATCAAGACCATAACTTGCTACACCATTATCAAATTTGTGTTGGGTGTTGAATAGGTCAAACCAATCATTAAACAATGAAATAGTTTCAGAGGCCTGTTTTTACAAATGATTACATTGTTTTTATTTTTAAATATTTTTTATTAGCTTACTAAATTCTTAAGAGGATGTCAGCACAGTCTTAATCATATTAATTTCACTCTCATTTGAGAAATTAATTATATGATTATAATCACTATTGTGAACATAACATTTTCTGTATTATGCGCATGAGTCAGAGAGAGAAAACAAATAGTGTGCTAACATCCTCTTAAGATTAAATGTTAAGAAATTAAATCAAAGGTTTGTTGCATAATGATTTAAATAAACAGTACTTACATCCTTTAAGTTGTTGATTTTTATATAATTATTTTCTTCGCAATGTAATAGAGCTTTAGCAACAGTATTGGAAAAAAGTTGAACAGCTAATCTGACATTCATTCTGCCTGTTCCCTCGACTGAAATATGGTGTTGTGTCAATTTATGTGCCATTCTAAAATCCACATTATTTAAATCCACCAATTCTTGAAACATGTTTTTTCCTATATATTTTCCATTGGGAAGAATAAAACCTCTAAAAGTTTGGTAAATATATTGGAATTATGAATTTAATTTTAATATAGTACAAGGTAAATCTACTTACTGATCAAGTAAATGATTTCTTGCTAACTTAATTAAATGTGGTACGTCTGCAAATACATAAATATTTTTGTTTGTTATAGGATGTGGGAATGAAGTGTTGGTGATTGATATATTTAAACTTCGCCATAAGCCCATATTTGCAGAACCCATGTCATTGACTATGGAAAGTACGTTAAACCCAATTTTATGTAGCTCTTCAATTATGGAGTTTAGAATGTCTCTGCTCATATGTGTATCAAAATTATAGTAGATCACTTGTTTCCAATTACTTAATAAACCTATTCACAAAATAAATTATGTATATTATACTATATACTAATTTGTTATTATTTTTTTTAATTATTAGATTTTTCAACTGCTTCACCTCTAGCCATTACTGTTTGTACACATTTATGAGGACCTATAATCTGTTCATATGCCTTATCATAACATATTCTTTTGGACACATATGTTTCATCGAAAGAAAGAACGGTGAATTTGTCAGTCTTTGACATTAAGGATCCTTAATACACATATAATATAATATTAATTTCTGTACGAAGGAATTTTAATTACTTTTGTGTATACCTTTTGCGTTCATTAAAGTAATCACACTTGAGAGTATTCCATGTTGGACAGGAAATGTTGAGGCCCATTTTCTCAATGTGGATAAACCTAAAATTAATTTGATGATTTAACTACTTGGGACAAATGTATAATAGACATATTATTTTAACCTGGTAATGGAAATTGCTTTTCATTTCTCAAATAGCGATACGCTTTAGGAGAAATACTCCTTAGTGTTATTGCTGACGATATATCCTCTGGTTTCCACGAGTAAACTTTATTTTTTGGATGAAGTAACAATTTGATTTGAGTAGGACTCAACAATTTATTTAATATATTATTAAATCTATTTTCAAATCTATAATTTTCTAAATTAATGAAATCATTAAATGATCTCATTTTTGTGTTTTGTGATGAAACAATAGTTTTAAGTTTATTATTTTCTAAAACTAATTGTTCATTCTCATTTTTCAATCTAAAAACAATAAATAATTTAATATAAAATAGTAATTATTTAATTACTTATCTATCTATTGGCAATATTATCCAAGATTAGGTTAGCTTTGGACTTAGGAGTAGTAGGGTTGTCAGTGATCATAGGTTATAAATTTAACTCCATTGGTGCAAAGAAAATCATTGGCATTGAGAACAAATTTGAACTAGGTTAGTATTGATAATGGTTTTGAAAATTGTAAAATAATGGAAAGAGAAATAAAATATTATACATAACATTTTGCTAAAATATTATTTGTTTTGTCCCATACAGAGTTTCATTAGAAGCTGGTCATATAGGTTGGGTTGTGTTTGTATTTATCGAAGGTGTTACTGCTGGCCGAGAAATTTCTACAAGACCTTTTCAATGTGTCATTAGACGTACATGGAAAAAGCACAAAGATAAGAAGAGTTAATAAAATATTTGTATAATTACTTTTGTAGCAATTCATAATTGTGTATTGCATCATCCAATGGCTGTATTCCTGATAGATCAGACTTTGTATTCGAAAATAATTTTACCCTACAGTCTTTTTTCAATAATTTGTCATCACTAAGAATTCATAAATCAAATAAACAATATTGCATTATAAGAATAAAATATTGGCTAAAATTAAGAGTTATTAATTATTGTATTATATTACATACCTAATACAATATTTTCTGATGTCAGTTAGAGTGTTTCCCAAATTGTTCACTTTTTCAACAGAAAATATTCCACTGGGAGTTTTAATGGGTGACAAATCAATACTATCCTCAAAATCGTTAATTTTTTCAACAGAAAATATTCCACTGGGGGTTTTAATGTGTGGCAAATTAATACTATCCTCAAAATCAGTGCTACAAAGTTAATAGTTAAAGTACATTCAAGGTTATTACTATTTAATTCATGTTGTATTATGGTTTCTACAATTCATACCGGGTGGAATTATCTGAATTCATGAATGCACTAGTGTTAGTTGGAGTTTTTATACATATTTCTTCCTTTCTTAAATATGGCACATCGTCATAATCAAAACCCAAAGTGCTATACAATGTATATAGAAAATTAAAATAAATAATAAATAACTAAAGACCGGATTTATATGTTTTTACATATCAATACCAGGTGTATGCAGTCTTATGAAAGTAAAAAATGTAGACGATTCGTTCAATTATGAATGTGTATAAAAAACTTATTTTTGCATATTTCAGAATATTTCATGGGTTAGAGAGAATTTATCCCATTTAGCATATTTTGAAATATTTGGTAAATTGTAAGAAAAAATGTATATTTATTTTTAATTTTAATATTACGGTACCCAGAAAAAAATTATTTGAACATTTACAATTTTTTTTTTTTTTATCATTTCAAACTTACTAAAGTGCAATTGTATTCCAATAGAATAGGCAGCTTTTAATACATAATTAATGCCTCACTATTAAAATTTGCATATTTTGCATATTTTAAATTTCTAAGAGAATATAATGAGAATAGTTAAAGGTTTTTTAGAGAATATTAACATCTTATTTTAGGTATTTTAAGAGAATATAAATCCGGTCTTTATACATAACTAATAGTTATGAAAATATTATATTATATACCTACATAAGATAATTTTATGGGATGATATTTTAGTTAAAATAGTTTACCTTAGAGGTATAGCATGAGGTGTAAGCTTTCTACCAGCTCGTGGTGAATAGTTTAACATTTTTTGTATTAAAGGCTTTTCAAAATGATATGGTGCAAAATGAAGTGAACATACTACAGCTGAAAATATTATTATTATAACTTTGTAAATTTATAGATAATTTATAATTTATACCACTATTTAAATTAATGCATTTTCCATCAATATTAGAACCAATTTGCATTAACCACTTATTTCTAATATCCTCATTTTTTGGAAACCTATGTAAATGAACGTTAGGATTACTCTGTATTCCTTGTTTACGAGAGCCGCTGTCACAATTCGGGAACACACACACAGGCATTTCGTGCAGTTTAGTTTTAAATTAATAATTATAATTTATTATAACTCAAAAGAAAATCAAGTAAATATACATTTCATAGGAAAATGGACAGGTAATTGAAAAAATACACTAAATAAGAATAAGAAAATATGTTTTTATTAAAACCACAGTCTACATATTTTGATATATCATTGTATCAATCACAAATTATAATTTATAAGCTACCTAATCAAATAATATTAATTATATTTGTATGTATATTGTATTATTAATTGATATAATATTGATTATATAAATACAAGAATCTAAGTATATTTAATATTTATTATTTATACATAATATATAAATTACATTTTTATAATACATATATGACATTATTAATAACATAGATACAAATATAAAAGTATAATTAATTATACATTATACAATGTTATAGTAATAGAACAAAATATGTACAATAGGATAATACAAATTCACTCTTTACAATATCATTATATCTATTTTGTCATATTCTACAACTGTACAGTGTACGTTTGTATAGGAACTAGGATTCTACAACTGTTTTACACTGGACACAAAAAAAGCGGGAAAATACAGGCCAATGAAATCAGGAGAACGGCTTACGTCACAGTTCCAGATGAAGTGCGGGAGGGGTGCGCGTTCTCGTTTAATATTAGTTATGTTGATAGCATACCTATCTATTTTGTCATGTAAAAATCAATGATAATATGATCAATATTGATCAGTACACAAACAATAGTGATTGGAATGATAATACTGAAATAATGATATCGACTGATATTACAAACTGATAATAGGAGATGATAATACAAAATTATAATAAGAAAATTATAATTTATCACCCGGCGGCCGCCACTGATAACGGATTTCGACTGGGCTGCGATCCCGTCAACTGGAAATTGGGGAAACAAATTAACAAAACGCGCTCTGGTGTAGACAATTTGACAATTCGGGGCAGATAACCAAGCATAATATGACTATTATAGTAGCTACCTACCGCATTATCGTTTATTTCGTATTTGTTGTGTTTGATTTTTCTGCATTTTTATTTTTAATGATAATCTACAGTAGTACAGTAATTAGTACCTACTACCTACCTATTTGTTTTTAGTTTTTACTTTGGAAGTTCAATGGCAGTTAAAAAAAAAAGCAACAACTATTGCAGTGTTTTTGGTTGTAATGCATATTATTGTTCTGATAAAATTATTAGTTTCCATCAGTTGCCGAAACGTAATGAACCAAAAATTCTACAAAAAAATAATTTCGGAATTCAAGAGTTGGTCGACCGTCGGAGAATGTGGGAAATTGTTTTAAAATTATCCAAAAAATCATTAAAAAAGAAACGGATTCAAATTTGTTCAAAGCATTTTACAGCAAATGACTTTTTTCCACCAGGTAAGTTGTTCTTTAACAAGTACATTTTGTAAAAATTCTTTTTACTATTCATTATTATAAATGCTATACTCCCATGATCCATGAAAATGAATGTAAAAAAATATGTCATAAATTACCTATGAAATATATTTTATATGAAAATATAAAAAAATTTTAATTATAAACCATAATTATTATATCTTATGTTTAGCAGATTTATTTTCTTCTTATACATTTTAATTTATAGGTTCAAGTAAATTACGCTCACGCCTAAAGCCTACCTCAATTCCATCACGAAATTTGCCTGAATCGTCTGTTAAGGTCTTTTCTCCAAAAAAGAGAGCTTCGCCTAAGAAAAGATCTTCTCCAAAAAAAAAAATGTGGTACCAAAATATGAGGAACTACATTTATGTGATTTCATTTTCATGGTTACATTTTTATCTGATTTTTCTTCTATACAATTATTTACTGTGATTAATATTTACTTTTTGACAAAATAATTTCTAGTGTATTGATGAGTCAAATTTGAACAAGGAATTTGAATCTACGTCACAAATCTACCCAGACTGTAACGACGTTTTAACAGACATCACAGTTGCTAATAATCTTATCTCAGAACTAACAACTTTCAAGGATAGTGCAGTACAAGTAACTAGTGGTGATCTTGTTACATCGTTTATATCTTTAATAGATTCAAAACAAAAATTAATTACGATGACAGGGATCAATTTTTTCAAAATTTTGGATGAGATAGTAGATTTGCACAAAACATATTGTTCAATCAAGAGGCTCCTACAATATTGGTGGTCGGCCCCACTGACTACACCAACGTATTGGACACTTGTAAATACAACCTATTGTTATGCGACCACACTAATTATACGCACATTTTGGAGAAGTATGGCAAAGCACATACCGGAATTATTTATTTTCTATTAAATACAGATATTATAAAACATATTGTATTAACTGGTAAAGACGTCTCCTTAACCAGCCATAAGAAATAAGAATACACAACAGAAATTAATGACAATAAACTCAATAAAGGTAATAACGGTGTTATCAATACACCCGATGCCTGACGACAATAATAATAATAATAATAATGATAATACAATGATAATGATTACGCGACTCCGACGACCAGCTGGGCTCGGTGAAGAAACGACGTTGACAATTCGGCTTTATGGTGTACTTTGGAGCAGTTGACGGCGACAATAGGTCTACCAACGATACGACGACCGACGAACGGTGATCCACAGGTCACGAATACACCGACACGCGGGTTTTACTCGTCCACACTACGACTACCAACACACGTACCGTGACGAGGCGCACCGCGTCAATCGAAACAGCGGAAATACGGCCTACCACGAATCCAGAGAACAACGTTTACAAGAGTCGTACACAAGTGACAGGGCCGTCGCATAAAAGCCGATACCGAAGCAAACGGAACGCAAGACGATGACGACAATGACGAAAAGAGCAACGACGGGCCGTAATCCGGCAAAGGTCGTGCGTCCAACTAACTAGCTCAAGCAGTTACGGGGTCTACGGCAGACGTGCGTTATCGGCGATAGCATACTAGACGGACGGAGGGAACGGCACGACCGGTTCATAGAAGCCTTGGATGGACGTCGACTACGGCGCTCGAACACATATTTTCCTGATATAAGAAAGCACCATTTAACTTTAAAGGAACGTGTTATTATGGTTTTTTTAAAACTGAAACAGGGACTGTCTTTTGAAATTCTTAGTCTTTTGTTCAATTCCTTAAATTCGGAGACTTGTCGATTACTGTATAATTCAATGATTCCTCAACTTTCCCAAATTTTTAAAACTTTAGTTTATTGGCCATCTAGACAAGAAATATCATTAAATACTCCATATTGCTTCGATAAATTTACTAACGTTAGAGTTATACTTGATTGTACTGAAGTGTCATTGCAAAAGCCAACATGCTTAACATGCAGAATAAAATGTTACAGTAACTACAAATCAACATATACTTTAAAATTTTTGATAGGTATAGCACCCGCAGGCATTATAACTTACATCAGTAAGCCTTATGGAGGTAGATGTTCTGATAAGGCTATATTTGAACAAAGTAATCTGGTTGAATGTATGCAAAAACATGATGCTGTGATGGTGGATAAAGGTTTCCTAATTGACGACTTGTGTAATAAAAAAGAAATTATGGTTATCCGCCCGCCTTTTTTAAAAAAATCAAAAATAATTTAGCAAAGAAGATGCAATTTTATCTAAAGACATTGCCAAGGCTAGGGTTCATATAGAAAGAATCAATCAAAGATTAAAAACATTTAATATACTTCGTCATACATTTCCTTGGCCCCACATCCATTTAGCCTCAGATCTAATGACTATCATTGGTGGCATATGCAATATAAGCCCATCAATATTTGCTATGGATAAATTTAATTAATAATCAATGTTGTGTTTAAAAATCAAAAAAGTTTGTATCAACATTTTATTTATTTATAAATAAATAATTAAGATTTTTTTTAAATGACTATAATTCTGTTTTTTTTATTTATTTTTTACACTAGTACATAATATTTTTCAGTAGAATAACATTATAAATATAATTGTGTGGTTTTCCACGGCTATTAAATATGTAAATAAAATGAAATAGCAATACTGATTGAAAGTGTAAGTAATAACTAATAACAAGATGACAATTGAACATTTTGGTAATTTTACATTGCAATATATATTTTCATAACATAATATAACATTGAAATATGTAACAAAATAGAAAGGAAGAATACAATGTGTAACTTATTTATAACTACTAATAACATAGTAACATTAATAACAATTAGGTAAAACATATTAAAATTATACTAATTTGGTAAAAATACATATTTCATGTAACAGTCTTTCAAAATAAACAATTTTTAGATTGTTCAACATTGTTTTACAATAAATTTCATCAAAACTTACTTGTATCAAAAAATAGTTGTTGTCATAACTACTGTGGATGATAAAATCACAGACAGCAACATTTAATAATACAATACCCAGTTTAATTTGTGCATAGTATGAATGATTAGGTTTGAGACTATATGAACCATCTTGGTTTTTAATAATATAATTTAAATCATTTATAAGGTCACTAATAGTTGATGTTTTACCTTTAAAAGGGCATTTTATTTCAATTATTTTCACAGGAAAATTTTTATCATCAACAATAACTCCGTCTGGTGTATAACCATGGATTATTGGGGTTAGTTACTAGCCCACACTCTAATACTGTTTGGTTGGTATTTTTAGCATATACATTTCTAACAGCACTTTCATATTGAATACCATGTTTTACAAATTTGTTTGTAAATGACTTTGGCCATAAATATCGGCTAGCTTTTAGTGACCATTGAGCATCTGTTTTTGGAGTTTTGTGAAATGTATATAGACCATAGCATCGGCTTCCGGTAATTCTAAATTGCCTGCATGACTCCCAGAAGGATTTGTCCCTTTGAGAGCGATTTAAAATGTCCATAGTATCCATTGATAGTGAGGAAAAAACCTGTTTGCAGCAATCACCCATATCCATTACAGGATAGTTTCAAATTTTTTAGTAATAAATGTGTTGTTAATGTTAAATTTGTTAACTGTACATTTTCATTCTGAGTTAAAACAGATGTATCACCAGGTAAATGACGGCCTAATCTGTGCAAGGCTATAGCTGATGTGGGAGCACAAGCAATGAATCTAGATCTAAAATTGTATTCAATATTAATCAATAGTAAATCTTATATAAATATTAAATATGTACCTTATTAAATCAGCAAATGTCAGTTCCTAAATTGATACTTGCAGTTGCATGTGTTTGTTTGTGACAATCAAATGTATCAATTGGCTTTGGCTTGTACTGAGCCAAAGTAGGCTCTTTCAGTTTGGTCCATAGGCATTTTATGTCAGTTGAAGATAAAATTTCCACATCAGAAATTAAATTTCTAAACAAAAAGTATTTTTCCATGTTGAATACAGTCATACATGGAGAAAGCTTTAATATAAGTTGTTTTATGTCAAGTTTATTAAACTCTTAAAGCCCCTCCTAGAACTTGGATCTGCTACTAATATAAACTGAATATTCTATGTTTTATGTTTTCTGCCCTGGATAGGATGACGTTGCAGGAAACCTCAGAATAAACTGAATAAAGAGTAAGCTTGTTATAACTTATAATAATTGAATAGTAACTTACCTATTCAGGAATAAATGTATTGCCACCACATGTTTACAACATCTAGAAGCTCCAGCCTTACAACTACAAGTAAAATTTACTATTCTACATCGTGGATTAGTAAGTTCGCCATTAACTTCGTGCGGCATTTCGCTAATGTGTGAAGTTTGTACAACCAAGTCTTTAATTTGGATGACAGATTCCTAAAATAAAATATTATAATCATTATACTCTAATTTATTACATATATTATTGAAATAATGATTTATAATATATTTTTAATGATATATAAAGCTAATTTTTTTTAATTCTACTTACCATTTCAATCTTTCCGCAAAGGATAATTTGTTGCCCCTTTAAAATCTGTTCACCTTCTACAGCACTCCGAGAATTGAAATTACACTTGGCATAGTTGAAAATGTCAATCAAAGCCATGGTTTAATAAATAAAATAAATACCTATATTTAAATTTGTGTTGACTAGACGTCAATTGACAAGGCATTTTTAATTATATGAAATTTATAAATAGTAAATCAAATTATTATTTGAGAAACTCCGTGAAATGGCATACCAGCTGATATTAGTATCCCGAATCGAACTGGGGGGGAAACCGCCAGCCCAGCATGACATCTCTTGGTGTTAATTTGTTTCCCCAATAGAGATGGGATGATTCGATCATTTGAATCGAATCAGTCAAATGATTCGTTCATTTGATTCGTTCATTCGGTCACTTATTTAAATTGTTTATTATCGTTCAAAAGATTCGTTTGAATGAACGAATGGTTCGTAACAGTATCATACATTCATACTATCATACTGCTGTTACGAACGGTTAGGTTCAGGGATCCAAAAGCTGATGTACTTTGATAAATAACAATAGTCAAATTAGTATAGTAATAAAATGTATTTTATTAAACCAGACAAAATAAGCAGAACAGTCGTGTTGATTGTGTAGTTGAGTGAATTGTAGCTCGTTCTAGAATGATAATCTCCGTGTAAGTTGTGTGTAATGGCTGGTGGCTAAGCGGCCCGCTCGGTCTTGGCGGCCCTGGTACATCTAACTCAGGCTGTCTCGCTGTCCCCTATATGTATGGTGGCGGCGTCCTTTGAAAGCAGGCGGCGCGTGTACAGTCGTTCTTGATATGGACCTCACGACTAAAAGTGGTATTCTAGTCGTAAACACTTTTGGGTGTGGTCGCATTCCTGTTGTTGTTATGAGCAAATACATGATATTACGTAATCCCATTACACTGCTACGAAACATACCTGTCATAACTGTCAGTATGACTTTATGACCCATTATCAACTATTTTTTTTTTCAGTTTTTCTAATGATCGATAATCTTATATCTTCAATATACACAAGTGACAAGCGTACCCAAATGAGTTAATAAAAAAAACATGTATTATAATATACCCATTTGAATACAATAATAGTTCTAAAAATCTAAACACAACACACAACCAACTAATGACTATAAAATAGTGACTATCTATGTCCACATATATAGTTTGCTTCTCTGTAAAATATTTTTATCTATTAAGACCAAAAATAATGAAATTATAAAACTATTTTTAAGTGGGAATAATATTAAATGAAGAACTCTTTCCATAATAATACAAAATTATTATTAATATTTCAATATTAGGCATTTGACAATTGACTATTGTCTATTACACAGTTAACACTATTGTTTTCTATAGTATGAAATTAAAATTGTTGTGAGTGTAAATTGGTATGATTACCTATATAAATATATATATATGTACAATATTTTATTTTGATACTTTTTTTAATTATTTATTTATTGATTGATACATAATACATCTATTAACGGTAATAATAATAATAATTATTATTTTTTAGCAACCATATTTTTTATTTAAAGTTCATTATAATTAAATTTAATACATTTTTATAATACATTTCTACAAAATTCAACTTGCTTGATTTAATGTTATTATATTATTAATTTTAGTTCAAGTACTAAAATTGATGTAAAAAATTAAATCATAAAATGTATTTAACATTTCTTTGATAGCTTAAAATATCCATTAAAATTGTAAATCTTTCAGTCTCATACAAGAATAAAAAAATAAAAAATAATAATATTATTATTATAAACATTAATACATAGATTTGTTATTGAAAACACTTAACAATCATTTTTTTTATTTTAATTAATAAGGTAAAACTAATTAAAATTCTCACAAAGAAAAGAAGTCATATTTGGAACCATTTTACCATAATTGATCAAAAATTTGCAAAATGCAGTTATTGAACCACCACCATAACTAACTTTATTGGAAAATTTCCAATAAAGTTAGTTATGGTGGTGGTTCAAGTGGTAACTTAATTCGTCATATGAAAACAAAACATATAACAGTGCCACTTGAACGAACCAGCCCGCCCGTCCATAAGTACATCACAATCAATAGTTCATCAATCGTCAACCAGTCCAGGCTTCTATGAATTCCTTCATTCAAAAACCGATAACAATTTCAAAGTCAAAAAAAATTGATGCACAAATTTCAAAATTAATTATTAAGCATTATCATCCTTTTAGTTTAGTCGAAGAGACAGAATTTAAAAACTTAATAAATTTACTGGCACCACATTTCCGAGCAGAAAAACCATATCTAACAGTTTAATACCTCAGTTATACAAGTCTGTAGTAAGTGAAATAAAATAAAAAATAAAAAATATACAAGCCATTTGTCTTACTACAGATGCATGGACATCTTTAAATAATCAATCAATTGTAGCTGTTACTGCTCATTATATTGATGAAAATACAAAGTTGTCATCAATTCTGCTAGGATGTCACCATTTTCTTGAAAGACATACAGCGGTAGAAATGTCTTCTTTTTTAAAAGATATAGTGAGAAAATGGAATTTAGAGAATTTAGTGACAATGGTTGTAAGCGACAATGCATCAAACATCATTGCAGCAATTAAATTATGTAATTGGAGAAGTCTAGGATGTTTTGCTCACAGCATAAATTTAGTAGTTGAATCAGGTTTGAAATATAAGGATGTGAAGAGTATAATTGCAAAAGTAAAGGCAATTGTACAATATTTCAAACAGAGTAGCCAAGCTTTAATCCGTCTTAATGACAATCAAGTAAAAGGAGGTCATCCCATACTAAAATTAAAACAAGTTTGTCCAACCAGGTGGAACTCTACATATGATATGATAAATAGGATTTTAAAAATAAAGGAGCCAGTTTTGTCCACATTGGCAGTCATAAATAATGATCTTAATAATATCACCAACTATGAATGGAATATTTTAGATCACCTATGCAAATTATTAAAAATATTTTATGATATAACAAATGAAATAAGTTGCGAAAAATTTGTATCCATATCTAAAGTTTTAATATTTTCAAAAGCAATGTCCAACTATGTCTTAGTTTACTGCAATGATCAGAGTATGCCATATGAAATAAATTCAGTGGCAAATATATTACATACAAAATTACAACAAAGATTCAATCAGTTTGACGATAATGATGTAGTCATACAATCAACCCTACTGGATCCGCGATTCAAAAAACAAGGGTTTGTAAATGACAGAAAGTATGAAATTGCCTATGAGTCTCTGTCACGTAAAGTTCAAGGAATATCTATTGGGAAAGATAGTCAAGAACCAGAGATCAATACACCATCAGTGAACCTGCTGGATCTGAAACAATTTGGAAAGATTTTGATAGCAAAGTGAGCAAACTATCTGCTGGTGGACATTCAACTGTGGCTGGTGGTATATTAGAACTTGACCGGTACTTGGCTGAACCACTCTTAAAAAGAACAGCGGATCCATTAATTTGGTGGCATGAAAGAAAATTATTATACCCAATACTATACCTATTGGCATGTAGAAGATTATGTATTGTAGCAACGTCCGTCCGTTTCCATGCGAACGTATATTTTCAAAGGCTGGCTTGGTGTTGACTGATAGAAGGTCTAGACTGAATACAGATAAAGTTGAAAAAATATTATTTTTAAATCACAATTTAAGTAAGACTTAATTTGTTATTTTTTAGTATTACAATAATGATAATGTATAATGTTGTCTAATAGATGTAAGCACTACCTATTGACTATCAAAAAAATTATTATATATTTAATATTTATTAATATATTTATTTTATACTTATTAGTAATTTGATGTAATTTTTGAATTAAGAAAAAGAAGAATTAAACTTAAAAATAGTTTTAAACCTCAATAGGTATAATATAATAATTTATTAATTAATATTTATTAGTAATATAATGTTTCATCATCATAAAACTATAAAAGATATTTAAAAATAATAAATAATAAAATAACTTTAATAACTAATCAAACTTTATTAACAATTAAAAATTACATATCAGTCTTTTTCTTTTCAATTGATATTATGGTCTACTATCAGAAATCAGTTATCACTAATATTACTACTGTAGTAGTGTCTACTGCTACTACCAGCGCTTTACGCTTGAAATCAGAGTTGAGAATTTACGTCATTCGGTGATTCGGTCTTTTGACCGTAAACCGATTTGATTCGTTGGGCTATTATTGTTCTGTGACATCATCAGTCAAACCACTCAAACCGAACTGAATACCGAATAATCTAAAAACCATATGACCGAAACCGAATCATTTAGACATTACATTCGGCCGCAATTCGGTCACTAGACTGATTCTGTCATTTTGATTCGTTCGTTCGCGACTGACCCATCTCTAACCGGAAATGGTACCAGAACAGGCACTCACGCCTCACGACCGACACGCGACGCACCACGAACAACGGTGCCGTAGATCGCACAGACGATACTCGACGCGGACACAGAAAATGGCCGCACGAACCACACCGACATACACGTCCGACGATGAAAAGCCAAAATAACGTGACGGCCGTCGAATCACCAACACACTGGCAGCGATGGTAATGGCGCACCCACAGCGACCGAAAACGAATCAACGGGTCAGCCAAAATCGCACAACACACGTGGAAAATTCAGCGCGTACGTCCGCGCTCAACAGAGCATATACGGATCGTCGGAACGAAACGAGAGCGACTCTTGGCCTGGACTGTTACATGTGCAAAGGTCAAAGTCAGAGCTGCGATTATGACACCGGCGGTGACGACGATTGCCGAAGCTTGTCGTGATCTAGCTGGACTTTGACCAGGTTCATCTCCGGCGAAAATATGTGTCGCGAAAATGTGCGGTTCAAACATCCTACCCCCCCATGGGAGGCCCAGGCTCCCATAGGAATTGAACGGATCGGGTCGAATGGACTGGAGCGGTGTCTTGAGATGATGCATTGCCGGGGTGATGCTATTTACCATTTCATTTTACAAAAAAAAATAACATGTTGAATACAAATAATAAATTACAAATAATACACAATCTAAGGAAAATACATAAAATAATAAAACAAATGACGCATATGGCACCTAAATATTAGAAATGGAGTAAGAGTAGCTAATGACTGTTTAATTAATAAATGCTAGCTCATTTTGAGTCTATATAAAATTAGAATCAGGAACCACGTTTTGGGAATAAGCATACAATCAACGAGCAATTTAGTGAGGTTGTTAAGATTCCAAAACGTTATTGGGTGGGTAACACCACTACTTTAGCAACCGGTCGAGTGATTTGGCCATTACTCGTCAACAAACGCACAACACGTACGACACCGTCGTTACCAGGTAGTAATTCAAGGATACGTCCGAGGCGCCATGCCAATGGTGGAGATTGGTTGTCAATGATTACTACCATGTCGTTGATCTTGACGTTGGGGGCTTCCGTAGTCCATTTAGATCTCCCTTGAAGCGAAGTCAGATATTCGGTTGACCAACTTCGCCAGAATGCTTGATGGCATTGGTCGAGCAGCTTCCAACGTTGAGTTAAATTGACGCGTGACTCAAACGATACTCGGGCAGGTACCGCTAACAATGGTTGCCCGATTAGGAAGTTTCCAGGGGACAAATATTCAAGGTCAGTTGGGTCCGTGGTTAGTGGGGTCAATGGTCTTGAATTAAGCACCGCCTCGACGCGTGTGAGTAAGGTAGTGAACTCTTCGTACGTAAGTACATGGGTACCCATGGTACGGATTAACAGTCGTTTTGCTGACCGGACCGCTGCTTCCCACAGGCCACCAAAATGTGGCGCACTTGGGGGGTTAAAATACTATTGAAATGATGTGCGCGCTTCAGAAATTGCGCGTTGACCTCCCGGGCTGTTAATCAATAGCTGAAGTTGCTTATCCGCGCCGACAAAATTCGTGCCGCAGTCCGAGAAAATTTCTGACGGTAAGCCTCGTCGCGCGACAAACCTGTCAAAGGCGGCGAGGAACGCTTCAGTTAATAATTCTGTAACCAATTCTAAGTGCACTGCTTTAACCTAAAAACATACAAAAACGGCGATGTAATCTTTATGTACGCGAGATTTTCGGAGTTGCACTTCATGCATTTGAAGTGGGCCAGCGTAATCAACCCCTACTCTTGCGAATGGTCTACTCTGCTGTACTCGTGAGGCTGGCAAATATAGGTTGCGGCGGTTTGGCATCAAAATGCACGCAGACCGGAAATGCGCGGGTGACGGTGTGTAAGACAGATTTAATCGACACAATCCAGAATTCGCACGATATGAGAGCTGTTATTATTCGCGGACCAGCATGACACGTAATCTTGTGCCATCGGCGGCATAATCGACAAATGCGATTGTTTGGCTAGTAACATGGGATGTTTACACTCATAATTTAAATTTGAGTAACTCAATCGCCCTCCAACGCGGATTACCCCAGATGGATCTAAAAACGGACGTAGTCGACGTCAATAGCTCGTGTGCTAATGTCTTATAGAAACACTGTTGTGAATCGTGGATGAACCGGGGACCTTGCCAATATAGGGATAGGCTGGACAACAGTGACGGTAGGACGCCACGCGAGGCACAATCTGCGGGGTTTTCTTCCGACTTTATGTGGAGCCATCGACAATCAGGCATTAGAGTAATGATTTGATTGACGCGATTGGAATTGCATACCTTTGTAACGGTATATTACATATAGTATTACTAGTATAATTAACAAAAATAGAATCAATCCTAATAAAACGTACGTCATATAATATTTAGTGTCTTCTGAATTTCCACTCTGCCTATCTATTTCTTGGTCTATCATTGATTGGATGTCACTCAATGAATGAGCTAACTCATGTACATTATCCAATTTCAATAAATCATGTTTTTGTG